GTTTTGTGTTTCAGTCATTAGTCTTCTGTGTATTTAAACCCTGTCCTGTCTCAGTCTTGTGTCGGATCATTGTCTGTCCTGGTTCCTTGAGCTTTGTTCCCCTCGTGCTTGTGATCTACAGTATTTGTAAGTTTGCTGCCAGCAGCCCTCTTTTTGTTAATTATTAAACCTTTTTGTTACATTTTTGAAACCTTGCCTGCGCCCTGGGTCTGTCTCGTCACTAAACCCGTTACCGAAAGCTGAACAAAGTTCCTTTGTCCTAGTGGCCAATGACTCAGATCCAACAGGAACTGCCTAAGGTCACCAATGGTAAGTATTTTTCAACCCTCGACATCGCCTCTGGTTTTTGGACCATCCCTGTGCATGCCGAGGACCAACACAAACTAGCTTTCACCTTTGCTAGCCAACAATACACCTTCACAATGTGTCCCTTTGGCTACTCTAACTCACCTGCTGATTTCAACATTTTTCTGAACAAATCATGTCCAGATTGCTCAGGAACGTGGAACTTTGATCTATGTCGACGGCATTTTGTTGCGACAACCAGATCTGGACTCATTTGGCTGAGATAGACCACGTTCTAAATCAACTGACAACTGCAGGTGCTAAAATCTCACTTTCAAAGTGCCAGTGGTGCAAAACTAAGGTGAAGATGTCGGCCCATGAGCAAAATTTAGGATGCCTTTGATCAGTTTTAACTGTTTGCGTGAATGGTAAAGCATTTGTAGGTCTGGGTTGGAGGTCAACTCTTGTTTTGTAGGAGTATTATTGTCTGGGTCAGTATCATGGAGTTGATAGCAGGGTCCAGCTTCTGTAGCTGGATGATGTCGGGGTCAGTCAGCATCGGTCGTACAGAGACTGTGTTGTCAGCCTGTTTAGCTGCAGCCTGTGCCCAAGTAACTGCTGTTACCTCAATATTAGGCTGTGTTGACTGAACTTTGATGAGCCAGGAGGGGTCAAAGGATCATGGAGAGCCATCTACAGCTCCACTCTTGGCTAGAGAGTCTGCAAGGTCATTGCAAATCTTTTCTTGACCTGGGACACGTGAATGTCCTGGGACTTTTCTGTTTGTGTAAAGTTTTTCTGACTTAAGTGTGATTATTCTTTGGTCAAGAACAGTGACCCAAATGAGAGTGGGTGTCCATATTCACAAAACACAGACTTAAAGATATTTTGGTTAAACTATGTAAATAATTTCATACACATTCTGATGCAATTGCTTGTGAGTTGTGTCAGCTCTCAGAGGGTGTGTTGAAGAGGACTCTCATCTACTTCAACTTCTAATTTTAGGCCAATATACTGTATATGTAGAACTGAATGAATTATAGACTGTTTCAATTAAGGGGTTACAGCCTACGTAGGACGCATTTGCCAGTCGCTTATGCCACTGCATCGCTCCCTAGGCTGTCCCAATACGTAAACGCCTACTCATGTAACAAAATCCCAAAAAACGTAAGCTGCATCTGTGTGTCCTGTGCATCTGACAATTCAGAATTCATTGCACCATCAGCAAACTTAACAGCAACACGAAGACAGCAGAGTTTAGAAAATT